TAGCAGTTAGACTTATATACCGCTTCATAGGGCTTTCAGCCCTCTCTAAGCCGTTTACAGAGTCAGCATATTGCCCCCACAGTCTGGGTCCTCATGCTTGGTTTAATATTAACACATTAGCCAGCAGTAAAGCATATCAACACGTTATTGTTTGGTTCTATGTAATGCTGTATGAAATTAGCTTCAGATCAAGTATACCTGAAATGATCCATTAAGTTATATATTTAGGAAATAATATGCCAACTTTCTTACTTGGTGATTAGACAGTTTGGATTAAGTTGGATAGTGGTTTTCTATCCAACTTAGAATTTATGCAGTAAAATGGCAATATTGTAAACCAGTAAACCACTTAATGACCACAAACTCATTTCTGTGCTTCAATAAACATAACCACATCAATCAGATATGTAAAACAATCACACAGACAGCTTTTATATCACCTAACACCATTTTAAGCATCTACTTTCAGTGAAGGCAGTTCACTTGAAAGTGAGATGATACATATACAAGGGATTCAGGACCAGATTTTGGATACATCATATAAATAGTAATCCAAATCAACTACTGTTCAGCATTAGAGAGAGGAAAACTCACAACTCCTTTTCTTTCATGATAGAGGCATGGAGGCTATTGAGGAATCCAGCTCCATATTTTGTAAGAATAAATGTACAGTATTGGTTTAATCCTACTATTAAGCAGCAGGAAAATTAAATTCACCCTCTACTCCTCTAGTTCCATTTTGCCCTAGCTCTTCACCTCTAGTTTCACTGCACAGCAGTAGCCTGGAGAGAGCTTTCAAAACAAATAATGCCAATGAAGTTGATTCCCTAAATACATTTCTTCACTAGTAAGCCTAAGGACACTGTGCTTTGCAAAGGTATCAAAGGAGTAAATAAGTTTAACTAAAAATAGAAGTGCAGAAATAGCTGGGATAAAACAGATTTTTTTTTCTACACAAACTTCACACAGCCATGTATTATGACTGATAATGGAGTAACAGCTGTTGACAGTATCCACAGCTAATAAGTGGTCCTGATGAAAACACCAGTACCTTCAAGCACAAGATAAATGGAATGTATTATATTTAAAACCGGAAAATAGCAATTGACTGCTGTTTCCTCTGGAGAATCTTAATCTCAAAGTGCTTTTCAACCAATGATGTGAGGAACTCTGACAACAAAGCGCAAGGCTAGTAATTATCTTCTGTTCCATATACAGTTCATTGGACAGCCCAACTAAAAGGATAAGACAATAAAGTCAAGCATAGATAACACTGGGTTAACACAGACCAATGAACTGAGTCAGCTTTAAACATTCAGGATGGGTCAGCTAGGAACCAGAGTTGCAACCAGCATGATAAGGCTTAAGGTCTAGCTTGCCTTTGTAAAGAGGCACTTGATAATCCAATAATTTTACTTTTGTTATAAAAAGGCCAGAATTAAAGAGGTTAGACTACATGTGATTAACCTAATGTACAATAGGAATATTTAAGTACATAGTATAGGAAATATTATCCTGGTTTAAAATGGTGTACAGGAAATCAAACATAATGTTACCATACAATGCTATGCAATGGCTTTTTCGGAACAGCATGATCACAATTCATTCCAGCCTTCTTTCCAGAAAATGAGATGTTATTTCTTTCAAGGCACTTGGCCTTTATAGTTCCTATATAATAAGTTTCTCTGTTTGAACCTACCCAGAAAAGAAAATGAAATATCCCACACAAAACATATGAGATTTTCTTTGCATGCTCAACTGAGCAAAGAGGTAGATGTTAAGGAACAGTATCTTCTGGTGCTGATAGAATGTTTTAGCATTGATCAATTGGAAACTTGCATGATACTGGCCAAGGCATCGTCATGAAATGCAACACAGTGGAATTAAGATTCAACTTTGAACTTGGATGGATGATTCAAAGGCAGCTGAAATAGATAAATGTCTTTGGTTAGTTCTGTTCTATTAGAAATAAAATATTATTAGCACAGATTTGTCTCAGAATGTCGCTCCAAAATACAAGAAGACCTACACATTTAATTCTGATTTCCAGACACTGAATTGGTGCAAGACAATATAAAGTACAGGCAAATGAATTTCCAGAGGCCAGTAGGTTTACAAGCACACATGTCTTATCATCAGGAGTATTCTATCCAAACTGCTAGAACTTTCGTGTTTATAAAATATAATGCAGAGACTTGGTACCAATTGCATCAACTTCACTTGATCTGCAACATAATAAAGCAACATTCTCTACCAGTAATGATGAAAGTACCAAGTACTTTTTGCTAAATCCTTTAATGTAAATGAGCTTTGTAGAGGCATATCCAGGGTCTTATCAGTTTGACGACAGAAAAAGATATACAATACATTTCAAATTGTCTTCAAAATATCTAATAGTTCAAAAATGTTATATCATACCTCAGTGTTTCTCAATGTTGGTGACTTTAAGATTTGCAGACTTCAACTCCCAGAATCTGCTGGTTGTGGAATTCTGGAGCTGAAGTCCACAGATCTTAAAGTTACCACAGTTGAGAAATACTGCTGTACCATATTTATCAAACATAAGCCATCAACTAATCTAATCCTACCTCATCACATCACAAGACATGACAACCCCATGCAGCCTTGATTCCCATCTTCATTACTGTTGAGCCTTTTCATTCGATACTGACGGATTTCTCTAACCAATGTATAAAAAGCATCTTCAACACCCTGAAAAGTTGAGAAACATATGGTAGTAAGCAAGTAAATTATTTCCTATACTTTATTTTCTCATATTCATCCTGAAAAACTCTGTGCTGAATTTAATGTTCTTAATTAAAGAATCTGCCTTTATTTTTAAAGAACTAGGATTTTGCATCCCAAACATAAACTGTTTCTTACACAGCTATTCACAATTAAAAGTAAAGAAAACCTAAATGCATAAGAACTTATTAAGTAAAATAAAATATTTAGGGAAATGGACTGCACTTCTTCAAAATTCAGCTACTATATTAGTAATTAATATAAATATGCAAACAGGACTAGACAGTGTGGCTCTTAGAAATTAAAAACTGAAATAGCCTACAAGATGGCTACTCCTACCCATAGCTTTTTAATGTTATATCTTCCTTTTCAATCGGATTTATCCATATACCTAACAACTCCTCTAGCTATTTTCTTAAGATACAAGCAGAAATACAAGAATTCATTACCTGTCTTGTTTTGGCAGATGTCTCAATGAATGGAATGCCATAGCTCTTTGCTACTTCGTGAGCCTGTTTGGTGTCTACTGTTCTTGTTGGTAAATCACATTTGTTTCCCACTAATACCATTGGTACATCTTCTGAATCTTTCACTCTTTTAATTTGCTCTCTAGGGAAAGATACAATAGGAAAAAAGAAAATGAATCTTTCTTGGGAAAGATATGATGGGATATGTTGATGTGAGAGTGAACAAATACTTTATGTGCTTTTTTCTGACACTGTTTCTGCTGTCACTGATGAACAGCCCACTCAAGATTAAATTGATACCTGCCTCTGACTAATGAAAAGACTTGCAATCCTGAGGGAATTATTCTGCCAAATGAATACCCTCTGTTGAGGGAATTAAATCTAACATTATATTGCATTATTTTTTTCAATAAAAGGGGATAGAAATAAAATCAAATGTACTTGCTACTATGCTAGTAAAACACTGAGGTTGAAAAGATATCCTTATGATTAACTTTATATATAAATATTTTCTAATCCAACCCCTGGGCCGGGGCCTATTCTAAACCGGGCTGCACAAACAATGGGCAAGTGCATGCACGAAGCTCCACTTGCACAAGTGGCGGGAAAGCACACGTGCATGCTCCACTCAGGGTGAAATAGAGCTTTGAATGTGAGCACTCTCTGCTCAAGCGCCTTCCACTTGCATGAGTGGAACTTTGTGCATGAACACAAGTGCCTACCGCTTACAAGTGGAGTTTCATGCGTGCAGCTTGCACACAAAACTCCATTAGCACCAGCGGAGCATGTACAGGCCCACTTGTACCAATGCAGCTGTGCACATGTATGTGCGCTTACCACTCACATGCCCCCATCTATGCCAGGTCACCAAGGTTGGGGACATAATCCATTCAGGAACCAGATGTTCTTAATCTACCATAACTAATATCCACTACATTTTCAAAGTTGCATTTGGCACCGATATTCAATATTAAGTAAAATATCTCAGCAGTCACTAATCATTGCCTGACTAATCATCTTGCTTTTAAAACTATGATGGCTAGTTGACAATGTACCACTCGATCTTATCTCTTGTCACTGATAAGGAGAACTTACCTGTAAAGATTTATATCTGCAAATGATTTGCTGTTGTTAATGGCAAACACACAAAGAAAGCCTTCCCCAGTTCTCATATATTGGTCCCTCATGGCACTATATTCCTCCTGTCCTGCTGTATCCAGGATGTCTAGCAAACAAGTCTCTCCATCAATAACAACTTGTTTGCGGTAAGAATCCTTTGGAAAATCAATGCAGTTTCAAAAGTAAATATGCAATCATTCAATGTTAATGAGCAAAACTATTCTTGAAATTATAAAAGGGTAGAGAGCCATAATATCTTAAATTTAAAAAATTCAGTAATCTAATTAAACATCATATTCATATTTAATTTCCCCCCATTATGTTTTATTTTACATCACTTCAGCTTCTTTTGGCTTATAACATCAAAACCTAATATGGCTCTCTGTTTGATTGTTCATCCTTACTTTGATCCTACAATATATTCTGCTGCATGCTTCCTTAACAAGTCTCTTCCAATTAATTTTTCAAGGCAGTGAAAATAAATATCAGAGACCAGTGATTGACAGCAAAAAGTGATAAAACAAAATGTTTAAGTACCAAGGACAGCTTCCATAAACAGAATGAAAAGGACATAAACACATTTAGTATGCTAAGATGTTAATACTCTCAAAGCCTTACCTCAATAGTAGGATCATATTCATCTACGAAGTGATTCTGAATAAGCTGGATGGTCAGGGCACTTTTCCCAACACCCCCAGCTCCTACTACCACCAGTTTGTACTCAGTCATTGCCTTCCTCAGGACCCTGTTGGTAACACAAATATATATTATTCTATGTACAAATCACCCTCCATTAAAATAGCCCATGTAACAAGAATGTATACTGCCTTGAAAGAGGCAGAAAAGAAGTGGCATATAAATTTGATAAATAAAATATACTTCAATGTTACATTTTTTAAAAAAGTAATTAGGAACAATACAATTAGGAAAATAAAACACAATTGACTTATCCCATCATGTTAGTAACAATGACCACTTTATCACAAGTATAAACAATTTTAGCAATCATCACCTTCTCTTAAAATACAACAAAAATCTCATCTCAGCTCTTATTTTCTTAATCTCTTATCTTTGCAATTTGTATTATTCTCTCTCTTTCTCTTAATTGGCACTGGCACATTTCTTGGATAGACTAGACTAAAAAAAGGATTAATCTACATATCCAGATCTTCCATTCTTTTAGGACAAATATGGAAAATACGTAGTCTACAGGCTGTATTGTACCACCCCCAAATTATCTCATCAAGATTCAATGCAAAATGATTTATTTACAGGGATGCAAGATTTTTGTTTTATAGAATCATGCAGAAGAATGGAAGCAAAAAGCTTCAATCAAAAAGAAAAACAAAGAAAAATAAGGATCACATTGTTAAGGGATTGTCCATTTCTAATGTGGATGTTTAAAAGTTTAGAATGCAGAACAGTATTCCTCAGGACTACATGGCACAAGTTTCATGAAGAAGTTAGAAGTACCTTGTCACTTCCTGGGCAGATCCTGCAAAGCAGGATTTTAAAAAAATTGTGTCCCAAATGCCCAAACTTGAATCAATTCAAGCGATGGTCAATATCAAAAGCTGCTTTTGATATTATGACACATACTTCCTATAGGTCTCCTGGCAAACCTATTAGGATAACCATTTCAGCAGTAAATCCAGGGCTGTGATCTTATCCCATTTCCTCAAGATGTTCCAGAGTTCTCCAAATGGGGGCAGCACTTGTCCTAAATTTCTGGGACAGCTTCTTTTTGTTTATGCATGCACCACCTTATTCAAGATTTTGGGACTTTCTCTCTTCATCAAAGTCATCCATCTACTCAATCCAATCAATCCCATCTTCCCTAACCAGGTATTACCACATGAAGATCTATCTATCTATCATCTATCTATCTATCTATCTATCTATCTATCTATCTATCTATCTATCTATCTATCTA